CAATTGCTAAAAGCAGTGGAACTCAAAGGCAGGAAGAAGTTACTAAGAATACAAGAGTATGTGGCAAACACACATGCAAGTAACATAAAGACTGAGCAGGCTGCATCTAGGAAATGTGTGTAGAAGAGGCCTTGGATTTGAAAGAGAGCAAGGATGGGTATGTGAAAGGATGTGGAAGGGGGAAAGGAAAGGGAAAAAATGCTATAATTATATCATAGTCCCAAAAAAATAAAGACATAATAAAACAAAGACAAGTGTAAAAGTGACTTTTATTTGCCTGGTTTAAATGTTGTCTTGGATGCTTACTGATTCTTTATGCTACCCTAGGACTAAGCCTAGTCCTGGAAGCTTCTAGCCTCTGTATAATCTAATCTAGGCCTAGAATGTTTTCTGCCTCTAAGACTTGAGTTGGTGGTAATTCAGTTTCTGGACTTCAGAGGCAATTTTTACCAGGAAAGTTTAACAGAGAGAGGTCAAAGAGGGAACAAGCTAGACACAGGTGAAGACAAAATGAGCCAGAGAATGAGTAGGAGTCAGAAGATCAGAATGTACTGCCAAAATTACTATGAGGCCAAGCAGAGTAATCCAGTCAGAAACTGAGAAAAGCCAGTTTGAATCAGTCAGTTTGGAGAGGCATATGAGCCAGATCAGAACATATTGCCAATGTTAATATGAGGCCAACCAGAGCAATTCAGTCAGAAGCTAAGAAAAGCAATTTGAATCAGTCAGCTTGAGAGAGTTTGAGCCAGAACAGCTGCTGAGTTGAACCAGCCAACCAGAATTCAGAAAGAGCTAGAAAAGGTGAGCATATTCAGCAGTAAGTCTCAAAGGCTAAAAACATTCGAGTCCTATATTAGATTGTACAGGACTATGCCTAGGTTAGCAGACAGAGGCAGCAAGCATCCAAGATGACATTTAAATTAGGCAAATAAAGGTTACTTTTACATCTGGCACCCCACATTGGATATCAATTTTTTTTTAACAAAATCTCAAACATTCAATTTTATCAATAAAAACTTGGGAGCCAGATACTGGGGTAAAAGCATGCTAGCAGAGAAATCACCCAGATGACCTTCCTCGTAAGCCAACAGCTCCTTCCCCTCACCATCTCAAAAAACCCTCCAACTGAATGTCCCTTCCTTCTACTTCCTGTGCTTCTCCCTATCTGTCCTCCTGACTTCCTCTTACTCTCTCTTTTCTTTCTTAAGTTCATGCCCTGGCAGCTGTTGCTTTCTCTGCCTCTTGACCTAGGGTTGACCTTATTTAATCCTGTTTACAAATTTCAAATGGAAAGCTTTTGGTTAAATGTGTACACTAGTACTGAGCCAAAGCACAACCAGACACAGGTTTTTCCAATAAACAACATAATCTCAGGGTTCACAGTGCGATCAAAGATCCTGCAACACACAAGAATAGTACAGTTGGCACTCCCTACTTCCATGTTGACCATTAACTAATCTCAGCTCTAGAATGTCGTTTGAACCTTCTGTATGTCTCACTTACAAGGCATTTTTTAAAAGAAAAGATGAGAATAAGAGCTCATTTTGATAACAAAAGGTTAAGAAACTAAATCACATGGTAAGGCAAGCCTTCAATTTTTCTGTCTCTCTTTTTGCTTGCAATGTTTTGTGACATTTAACAGGTAATATCTACCCCTGACACTTTTTTTGACGTATTGTTGTTGTGCCTTTTACCCACTAATGTTGACGATTGTATCTAGTTGTACAAAAGTATTACTTCAAGAGACCTGAAAACTGTTTCATTAAAATAGTGTCTACACTTTCCCATGGTGGAGGATCTTTGGGCCTCACTACAAATTCAGTAAATATAGCCTGTAACCTCGGCGCTTAGGAGGCTGAGGCTGGCAATCATCACACACTCAAGACCAGCTTGTGCTACAATAGTAAGACTTTGTCACAAATAACCAAAATCAATAATAATAATAATATCTCTGTGTATTGTTGATTATTCTAGACGACTCTAAAAATTTTATGTAAACAACCCCAAACACTAAAATTTTACAACTTAAGATGGCAATTGCCTCATTATTTGTAAGGTAACAAGATGCTTAGCACAAATGTCCACAAATTTATGAATTTCAACACAAGCCATTGCGCTAGGCACTCTGGTAAGTAGTCCTGCTTGAAAAATATAAGGAGAAAAAAAACTTTGGAAATATAAAATCCCTCAGGTTCTACTATATATCTTTCCAATTTTTCATGTCACTTCCTGAATATTTCACTGAAGTATAATGTGCAGGCCGAAATTAATACATTTTCTAGAATTAAGCAGTCCTAATTAAACAGCACTCAGAAAAACAAAATATGACTTCTCAGATACTGTCTCTCCAGCACTATCCCACAAGGGGAACTGCTATACTACCTTCTGACAGAAGAGAGTATTATTGCCTGTTTTTCCACCTTTATGGAACATGCTTTGTTGTGTCTTGTTTATAACACACATCACTCACAGGAAACCATTCAAATGATCAAGCATATTAACAGTGAACTGTTGCTATGTAGACACATTGCAATATGTGATCATATTACAAGGCTTCTATTTACACTACTATTTATAGATGTATGGGCATTTCCAGCTTTAATTTAAAAGCCAAAAATTAGTGCATGCCTTTTACTGAACATATTTAAGCAATACCTATTTTATTTACATGAGGATGAATGTTCATATCATAATGCATTCGTACATTCAACTTCAATAACATTGCTAGACAGCTTTACAAAGTAGTTGTAGCATTTTTTTTTTGTTCAACCCAATGATATTCTTAGAAAATAGGATATAATTAGCTCGCTTTTTTCTTCACTGTGTTTCAAAATAATGACTGATGGTTGGTTATACAGTAGGGATGTGACCCATTTAGATGAGTTTGCCACATAAAACGGAATGCTCTAAGTAATGAATCATAATGCAAAGTTTCTCTAAAGAAATTGGAGCAAATACTTGACCATGTATTTAGAGCTATTTTCAGGCTTATTGCAAAATAAATAAATTTACCAGACTCTACATGGAAAAGTACATGCAGGTGATTTCTCAAATGGGGAGTTCAGAAGTTCTTCCAACCACCGCAATTAGTCAGAAAGCTCCCCAGTGGAGACTGTGACCAACAGTTGATCAACTGAAGACATCATCTCGGCCTTCCCAACCTTGATGGAACCTCTTTACCTGACATTCCTTGTGTCATCTACAGAGATAAGGCTCTTAATTCACATTGGTTGCAAGGACCACATCATAATGCTTTACATTTTACATGCTAGGAATGAGTCCACAATGTAGGCAAGCCTACATTTTATGTCAAAGGCGTACAAACAGTTTCTTAGATGGGAAATATTAACTCCTTGTGTACTTTTCAATTACAATCTGAGAGAACATTTCCCCTGAATCTTGTGTTAGTCAATTTTTATTACCACTACCATGTTTAACCTTAAATGTATTGCGTAACTCAACTCACAGATTTCATTAATTAAGTCATTACCACATTCTAGGGGTTGTTAGAGTTCATTAGTTTCATGATTTCCTTGCCTCTGTCACATATCAACTAAACACCGGTCTCTGAAATGCACCTTCATGATCAGACTGTTGAACCAGTATCTGAGACATTAGTATTCATTTTGCCAGTTAATCATCTCTGATTTTGTTTCAGAAAATTCATCATTTTTTTTCTCACCGTTTCTAAATTTGCCTTGTCTTATCGTTTAACACTTTTTTTTTCTTCTTGATATAAGTTGTTTTGAAAAGTCATTCTGAGCCAGGCATGATGGTGCACACCTGTTATCCCAGCACTAAAGGAGACAGAGGCAGGTGGATCTCGGGGAATTCGAGGCCAGCCTGGCCTACAAATCGATTCTAGGATAACTAAGGCCACACAGAGAAACCCTGTTTTGAGAAAGAAAGAAAGAAAGAAAGAAAGAAAGAAAGAAAGAAAGAAAGA